AAATCTAGAATAAATCTCATCTTTCCGGTTCGTTGGGACCAGGGAGTGACGAGAGAGGAACCCTGCGTTTTCCTCTCCTTCTGAGACTCTGGAATTTACATTTAAATCAGAATCTCCTGAGCTTCTGCGAGAGGGGACGAGATCTGTTCTAGAAATGACAGAAAACGTCATTACAGTTCCTCCGCACTGGGGTTTGAGCTATACTGCAGCGTGAATCCCCGGATGAAAACAGTTCACCTATCCGTCTGGAGCGCGCGCTCATTGCCACTCATTATAAAGTTATCAAGCGGGCGCGCATTGATGCTGTGAACTCACATGCATGCTGATGTGAGCTGGTGCGCACTAAAGGAGAAAGAAAAAACGCGCACCCCCGAGCATGCAAATCGTTGTGCGTTTGCTGATGCTGTGGAACGCAGCTCATCTGTGTTGTGCTCACATTGTGTGCAGCTGCTCCGTGTAAATGCTCGGGGAGTGGGTGCACGTATGAGCCGACGTGTCCTGAAGAGTCGTGTGTGCGCGCCCTCATTCATGCGACGCCTTAAGCGAGGATTGCCACGGGAGCGCGCGTTTGACGCTGGTGCGGTCAGGAAACAGTGCGCGGTATCGGCGGGGCGAGGTTACCACTGGGCTGGTTCTGCAGAACACGTTCATTCTTGGCTGCGAATCACGTGAGCTTTTGAGTGATTCCACGGACGGTGCAATGAGCTGTTGCTGAGAACTAGGAAGAAACTGTGCGTGAGTATTATGATAAAACTTTGGTAAGTCCGTATTTATTTAAATAAAAACTGTTTAATTAAATATAAGATCATTAAGAAAGTCCTAAATATTACTAACTAACTTTTTCATTCAATCAAACAAACTGGACGAGGAGACCTTGGAAAGCCTGGAATCATTTGTTGACGAGTGTTTTTACAGCTTAGTCATGGGTAAACCTAAAGATTCTTCCGGTGCTGCTAGCAATTCAGCTAACATCCCCACTGCTAAGCGGCATCGACAGGGAAGCTCAGACAGCGTTACGGCACCGTCTCCTGATAATACAGGTTTAAAGGAGATGTTAGAATCAATTGACCAGAAGCTAACTAGCTTGGACGCCCGACTAGCATTAGTAGAGATGCTACATAAAGAGTTTCAAGGCCTCAGGGAGTCTTTAGAATTCAGCCAACAACAGGTAGCATTACTTACTAGTGAAAATCAAGAGCTTAGAGGAATGGTAAAACAACTCACCGAGGAGATTACGCTGCTATCCGGGGATAATAAAAAAAATAAAAGAATCGATCCTGGATATCCAAGCCCGGAGCATGCGGGATAACCTTGTCTTCTCGGGAATCCCGGAGCGAGCGGACGAGGTCCCTGAGGCCTCCGTCCGTGACTTCATCCAGAACCAGCTGAAGTTGCCGAGTGACACGGTTAATTCCATCACTTTTCACCGAATCCACCGCCTCGGAGGTAAGAAGCCTGGGAGCAATCGGCCGCGGCCGATTGTAGCTAAGTTTGAGCATTATAAGCAGAAAGAACAAGTAAAAAGCCGAGGTAGGGAACTGCGTGACACGAACTTCAGCATGAACGACCAATTCGCTGCAGAAATTCTCAGTAGAAGGCGCGTCCTGTTCTCGATTAGGAAGAAAAATATAAATGAGGGCAGAAGAGCTACTGTGGCTGTTGACAAACTTTACATCAATGGTCAGCTGTTTAGAGATCCAGAGGTTACTCCCTGGCTCTATTAATAATATAAATAAGGTTAGTATGATTTTCAGTTGCTAATTTTACTTAAAATTTATTAGCAATAATATATTCATATTACTTACCAGATATATATGTAATTGTTCAGCACAGCTCGGTTGGTGGGTTACACAGATGGTGGTGGTACACGGTGGCATGGCACTTAATATGGTAAGGGGGTTCTTTTTTTATTTTTTCTTCTTTCTTTTATCTTTACGTGTTTATTATCATTTCACTTTCTTTTTTTGTCTCTATTTTTCTGACTCAACAATTATTAGCACACAGGCACAAAGGCTTATATATATATCCATATACATACATACAAATACCTCATAAAGGAATACATCCATGATTTACCTTCAAAAACAGCACTTAGTTTATCTATAAATCATAAATAATCAATCATTAAGGATTATGTTATTGTCTGGGTGTTTTACTGTTTTTGATAATGGGTGTAGTTTAATTATATTTTCACAAGCACAAGTATGGGCATCTTAAGGTTTGTCACATGGAATATTAATGGAGCCGGTAGCCAACATAAAAAAATAGAATATTTAACTAGATTAAAAGATTAAAGACAGATGTTGTATTACTCCAAGAAATTCATAAATTACCGTCCACTGTGGATGAGCTAAAATCTCCTGAGTTTCCTGATGTATTCTCAGCCTGCTGTAACTCAAGACAGAGAGGAGTAGCAATATTAATACATAAAAATGTGAACTTCACAATATTAGACACAGTTATGGACCCGCAAGGTAGATATATAATATTAAAATTATCCATACTCAGTCAAAAATATTGTATTGTTAGCTTATATGGGCCAAATGTGGACAATGCCGCTTTTTTCATGATCTCTACTCTACTATCAAATCACATGGATTGCTCGCTGGTACTGGGAGGTGATCTTAACGTTGGCCTAGATAACAAATTAGACAAACTGAATGCAGTAGGAGCTCAACGCAGTTGGCAATCCATAAATGTAGTTAAACAGTAGATGAGTGATTATGGACTCTGCGATACATGGCGGTCTCTTCACCCTAATAGTAAAGAGTATTCTTTCTTTTCACATGTGCATCACTCTTACTCTCGTTTGGATTATTTTATAATCAGCAACTCATTGCTGAGCAACATTTCAGACACTAAGATACACCCTATTGCTGTCAGCGATCATGCACCAGTTACTTTAAATTTAGATAATAAGAAAGAAATCCCCAAAAGTATAACCTGGAGATTAAATACCTCACTGCTTATGGACGAAGAATTTATACAATACTTTAAAAATGAATGGACATCGTATTTAGAGTTTAATGACTTGCCAGGAACATCAGCCTGTACACTCTGGGAGGCTGGGATAACAGTTATGAGAGGGAAAATAATATCCTACTCAACAAACAAAAAGAAAAAAGAAAATAAACGTATTCAGGAATTAGAGAAATCTATCAAATTATTTGAAAGTTTACAAGGAGAGGAAACACAGAAAAAACTTCGCAAGATAAAAACACAAAGTTTGTTTTCTCAGTCATCCAGGTATATAACAACAAAAAAGGTTGAATCATGTCATCTGGACTTCGTTTTTTTTTTTTTTT